GGGGGGGGGGGGGGGGGGGGGGGGGGGGGGGGGGGGGGGGTAGTTGCCGACTGAGGTTAAACCACGACACATATGCCTACAAAATACATTCTGTAAGTAACAGATGTCTTGCGGAGAAAACAATGTATAAAAAAAAAAATACAGTTAGTCCACCTTTACTATCGAAATGGATCAGAAGCTTAGGTTAATAAAACTTACAAGCAAGTGAGAAAACTGGCTACTACTCAAGCAGACCAAGAAAGGAAATGAAATGGCTCATTTTAATTAGAACATAACATCTTTCTCTAAAAGCATTTGAAGTGAATTTGAAGAATGCTGCGTGTACATACCCATCACCAGAAACATGCAACAGACTTTCGAGAACAGTTTCCAAAAAGATGAAAGGCAGAAGCAAATACAGACAAGACAAGTCTGGAATTCAACAACTCACCTGCTTGGATACCTTTGTTTAGCATCCGTGTCCGCCGCTTGTTACTAAGAGCAGAGCTTGGCCCCCATGAACTGCTGCTTGCAGAAGGTAAATCTGATGAAAGGGAGACTACCTTCTAGAAAAAACAACACAAAAAACCAAACAAGCAAGAGAACAGAAATTCCTGAAATACTAACCGAAATGAACAGAAAGCAGGTTTTAAACAGCAAAAAAGTTATAGTCATCACTCTTCACTTGTTGTACCTTGATCCTGTTGTTATTGAGATGTTTATCACAGGCTGATCGGTGTCTCTTATTGCTATGCCACACTACAGTCAGCCTTGACTTTATCCTCATGCACCAATGCACTTTCTGCATCCCATTCTGGTAAGAAGAGTGCATGGTTTCTGTAGGCAAGAGCTTGCCTGTGATCAGATTCTGTACAGCGCTGAGCATCCTCCAATTTGTTTGTCAAAAGTTCCTGCGACAATGTGGCCTGTCAAGACAGACTTATAAAAACCCTTTGCTGTGGCAAGATCATTTGTTGGCTGTACTGTCATGAAAGACCACAAAGTGTGAAATATTTCTGCTTTGGAAAGAGGGAGAATAAACACCTAAACCAAATCCTATATTCCTACCCTCTCAAACCAAAAGCCTTTAAAGGTTGCTGGGTTTGCTGGAGGAACAAACTGTCTTGAAAGATTAACACGTTGCTTTGTAAATTCAAATTGAACTCCAGTTCTGTACCATTGGCATGGCAGAGCAAAGTCCTTTCAAAACATGGGATGTTCTCTCACCCTGTGATCCTCATTTCACAAAGTTCTCCAGGTGGAGAAAACTAAACTCAATAAAAACAAGAAAAAGGAGACGCATGGTAAGATCATGGCTTAGGCAAAGCACTAGTTTCACATCTTCACCATTCACACAAACAGAAGTTCCAGCTGCAGGGATGTAAGCAGCACAGCTTTGTTGTAATAAATTAATTTAAATTTTATGTCAAGTTATAGCTTTACAGCCATTTAAAAAGGAATATACTCTGTAAGTGTAATGCATCTAGTCCACATGGTTTTTGGTTATATAAAATACAAAGAAGGTTAATGCTTTATTAACAGCAATTAACTGACAGTGCTTCCCCAGGCTTCAAATCCAACAGTGTGGCACAGACCAATCTCCCCTGAATTTAATTTTTAATTATGAAACAGATTTATTTTTTTTCCTTGATCATAGCAATTAGTATCCTATTAGTAACTCATAACGCTAGCCACGATGGAAATGAACAGAGGCTTTTTTATTACCTTTTTATTGAACCTCTGCTATCACCACTTCAATGCAAAACATAATTTCATTTCAACATTAAAAGGAGGCAATTTTTACTCTCACGCATACTGACAAGAACTGTTTTTTAGTTTCATAAAGCTATTTCAGCTCTAGTAGAGTGCACTAGACAGATGTCGTAGATATGTATCTTCTTTCAGAGAACAGAAGCAAATTTGAATATGCACTCAGCAAAAATGGAGGGAGTATAAAGTAAGGGAAAAAAACAAGATAACCCATTTGCATGCATATGCATATCAGCCTGCACAAATAAATATAAGCAGCCATTCAATACTGAATATTGACATGCATATTCCTATTTGGACTAGACTATTCAGTGCAGTGCTTTCAAAGCCCTTCAGCAGCTGAATAGTGCAACCTTTAGCTTTGTACCTGCTACCAGATGGCAGCTTGAAGAGTGCTTTAGAGATACTGTAATAAACAAAAACCTTCTGGGATGGGTTCAGCATCTATAAATAAAAAAAGCTGTAGCCAAGTTTTCTGGAAGCAGAGCTGACAATAGGCTCTCATAAAAAAAAAGAGCTACAAAATGCAGCACTTGCCTGAAAGATTCGTACAGTAGTCTCTCTAGGGGTAGGGCTCCTGCTATAAATAAATATCTGTCTCTGAACCACAGATATTTGCAACTAAAAAAAAAAAAATCTTGATTTCTGTTCAGCCAAGCATCACAGACCATTACCAAAATTTGGATTTTAAATTAAGTTTGCCATTTTGCCATCAATTTTCTCTCACTCCTTATTTGAGGTGGGTTATGTGTCTCTTTATATGCATTTTTAAAAAGAACACTACATCAGCAGATAAAAGATACTACTTTCTAAAGCCATATGGGCTCAATGCAACACCAAGCACTGGGAACGGTGAGCCTTTATTCTCATATACTATTACTGCAATCAGTTATCTCACGGGTGATTTCAACAGGCAAAAGACTAGATGTTGGTTTTAAGGTCCAAACAGACATTGAAAGATTAGTCTTATGAATGGAATATGAAATAAAATAACCTCCTAAATACTACAACCGTGCAAGAAATGTTGGATCTGAATTTCATTGTTAGATGGTCAGTGTTTGATTAATAGTCCTAATGTTGCAAAGTTTATGACAATTTTATTTTATCTTTAAATAAATATTATAAATAAAAATATTAATAAAAATATTTCTAAAACCATTCTTAGTCTTGAAAAAGACTTTCTCCCCCAGACATGCATTCATTAGCTTACTTGACACACAGAGTTTGAGTTGTTTCTATAAAAAAACCAAACCCTAACTCATTTCAATGAAATCTATTAGTAATGACGACACTACCACTTTCTTCTGTTAATATGAAAAAAAAAGAAAAATATTTCTCACTTGTTCCTGTACTTTTCAGCATTAATGCATGTTACAGAACACCAAAACTCTGTAATTTCTTACTATAATCACCAAATCCATGCCAAGGCTCCCTTTCAGGAAAAAACCAAACCCTAACTCATTTCAATGAAATCTATTAGTAATGACGACACTACCACTTTCTTCTGTTAATATGAAAAAAAAAGAAAAATATTTCTCACTTGTTCCTGTACTTTTCAGCATTAATGCATGTTACAGAACACCAAAACTCTGTAATTTCTTACTATAATCACCAAATCCATGCCAAGGCTCCCTTTCAGGAAATTAATTTTCATTTCTCCTCCAAAAGGCAATGGCCAAATTCAGCTGAGATAATCAGAAAGATTTTCTCCACTTTAAAACAGCTTTACTCCAGACTTTTCACCTAGAATCCTTAAGGTGGAGACTTGGTCTTTTAATACGCCTAAACCGCCAAATACAGAAATTGAAGAAGCTTACAACCAACACTCAGCAAGACAAAGTAACTCCAACATTTAAAATAGACAAACAGTAACAAAATTCAAATAATAATTCCAATTTTTATGAAATGGTATTATCGTGGCCCAGAGATATTCAGGTAGCAATATGCAGTCAAAATTTACAACCTCAACTTGCCACTACGGTCTTCAGGATTGCTAAAGCACAGAACCTGCAGGTAACTAGAAATCAGATACAGCAGGATCTTCCTTCCCAAGACAAATAAAGGAAGAGAAAAAAAGATAAATAAGAACAAAGGGAAAGAAAACACAATTTATGTTTTAAGATATTTTGATCTCATCCTTATTCCTGGAAAGGCAGACAGACTTGTTTGAGCTACTTAGATCAAAGACAGAAGCCTACCATATAAACAATACTCTCTGGGAAATATTAAATGATTGTCCAAAGAACAAACTCTACTACTGTACAGCAGTTTAAGAGTTCCTGTAAAGATTAATTAAAATTGTCGTTTGGTCTAACTGACCACATACCTGGATCTCTTTCCTTTTCCTGTGTCTCTCAGAAGTAACCTTTGGATATTCTACACCGACTGCTTTGCCACTTCCCTTGTCCCACTTTTCAGAGCGGCTTTTCTGGTGGTTGATGGTATGATAAAGCTGGGAGAGTCTTGGTGACACCCGCACTCTTTCATGCCCAAAAGCCCTGATCAGCCTGGCAGTATCAATGGTGGAAATGGAACTGCTCTCCTCAGTCTGAGTAGCAGTTTCCATCTCTGTTTGGGTCACCACATCTGATTCAGAGGTGGTGGAACTGATTGTGGTGCCATGATCCCTACTAAGCCTTGTCTCTGAGGAAGTGTCACTAGGAGTTTCCAAGTACTGCTGGTGCTCCAAAATTTTATTCATGTGGCAGATAATTTTTTCTCCTGACCCATTTTTCCTGAGCTCAACAAGGTTATTTTTATCATGGGTGATACATGGTCTTTCTTCAACATGTGTTGCATTAGGCTTTAAGGTACTTTCAGACATGCTCTTTTCTGTCAGTCTTATTTTCTTCTGCTCTCTTCCCTTAATTTTCTTTTCAGAAACATTCTTTTCAGATTTTGTTGGTATTAGCATATGCTTAATGGGATTCTGAAGGACCCTGGCCAATCGATCGAGGCGTTCAACAAGGGACAGCTCACCGTTACTCCTACAATCATGGTGCTGGTGTCTCTTCTGGCACTCCAAAAACTTAATCCAGAGTTCATCTAATCTACCACTGGAGTGGGTTCTCTGTCTCGGTGGCAGGTCTTTCTCCACAGTCTCATTAAGGCGAGTTGTTTGGCTACACGGCACAGGATAATTTCTAGCTGCCTTTTGTTCTGCTTCTCTTCTGCCATGTTGAAGTAGCTCCTTCCCTGACGTTTCACTCCCCAAACTAACATTTAGATCCTCATTCTTGCTGTAATCTGCTTCTGCAGTGAGTGGAAAGAATTCGTTTTCACCACCTTTTTTATGACAAACAGAGAAACCACATTGATGACGATGTGCTTTTTTCCGATTCTGCAAGACAGGCCCTGAGGAAGGTCTAGCACGTCTAATACCAGAACTGTCTTCCGACAGCTCGCTGTTAGACAGGAAGTAGCTCTCACACACGGGCATTGGACGATGAAGGTAGAACCGTGCAGATTTGAAGACCGAATGAGTGGTTTTTACAGACTTCGAATGATCTGTGCATTCTAGAAGAGAAGACGACACTTTAAATTTTTGTTTCTTTACAGGGAAGCAAGTAGCAAACAGCAAATCTTAAACAGGATGATTTTCATCCTAACACTTTCCAATCACTTCAAAGGATTGAAAGCAGGAATCATTGTACCCATTCCCGAAATGCAACAAACTTAGAAATGAAGTTTCAGCATTTTCAAAGTACATAAATAACATTTTCTATCATTTGCAACATGGAATCCAAGAGAATATTATATCCAACTGAATCTGAAGGAGGAATCTACATACACCACAGGTAATTACCCAGACCAAAATTTGGACTGAGTCTTTATTTATATTTATGGAAACTCATGACAGGCAGCCACAACTCATTTTGCCTCTTTTCAGACAAATGCCCAGGGAGTATAAACATCCCCTAGGGCTATGCCTGAACATTATCTCTTAACTAACTCCGAACAGCATATATATAAAGACAACCAATACCACTTCCTGCACAGCTCCTCAAACCATCTCTGATAGCATACCAAGGATCTGAACATTATCTTAACTAACTCCGAACAGCATATATATATAAAGACAACCAATACCACTTCCTGCACAGCTCCTCAAACCATCTCTGATAGCATACCAAGATCTAGCCCTGCTTTGCTTTCAAGCTCAGATGACACATTTTAGTTCAAAGCAGCAGTGAAATCCCCCCAGAATATGCTACTATCTGAAATTACAAAGGACTATATGCGGAAATCCAATTATAAACTCATTTGTCATAGACATACATTAAGTATGCACGCAGCATGTGCTAGCAGGAATATACTCCAAAATAATTTTAAAGCCATTTGTAATACACTGTTAAAAAAAAAAATCAAATTTTAAAAAGTAAAAATGTGTTTCATGTTATGTTCTTTGTACAATGGACTGAATTATACAATGATCCATGAAGGCAGAAAGTAGGAATTATAGATGCTAGTGCCAGAAGGATTTCCCAAGTCCCTATGCTTACTGCAAGATATTCCATGCCATTTTAGCCAAGTATGTCATGTAAAGATGCCTTATAGAGTAGTAATAGCTTTAATATAAATACAAAGTCAATAAAAAAAAAGAACAGTCCATTTACTAATGGTAACACCAGTGCCTAGGTAATGGGGAGCTGTCAGCAAATGCGTATCAAGCTCCATTAATGGCAGGAATCTCACTCATACTATTTTTTCTCTAGCTCTCCAACATTCCTCCTAAGTTTGTTTTTTGTCTGTATTTTTGTTGTTTTGTTTTAAACACTCTTGTTTCCGTGACTGTGATCTACTGATGAGAACAGAACTGGAAACCAGGTCTCCCTTCCTTCATTTGAGCAAGCTTTGCCACTGATTCAGCGAAAGGGTGCAAGTCCCACAAGCCAAGCCTCTCCCTACCCCAGGAGGAAACACCTACCTACCTCATCAAGAATCACAAGCTATGTTTTTATAAATCCTCAGTTCCACATGGGAAAAAGTGATGCAAGATAAGCTCGGGAAGGGTTACGACTGCGTGAATTCATAGTGTTAACACTGCCTCATAAACCTCACTTTTATTTAGTCACTTGTATAAAATGTAAGGAAAACATCTCTTCCCTTCCCAACACAGAGACACTTCAGTGTAACGTCAAGATCATGAGTAGCATAACCAGACCCAGTCTCACTAACTCTGAAATTGGAGGAATTTGTCTTTCCATACAAGGTCAATGTTTATATACTCATGTAAGAGGATTCCTCCACATCCTCCTGACAAATGAGATCAGGCTTGGGAATACTATGCAGAATTTTTGCTATTTCTATATTTTCAAAAAGTTACCAACAAAATGGAAGGAATGCAAACAGGCAAAAAATAAAAATAAGCGCATATAGAGAAACTTTTTTTAAAAAATACATAACTTGCATAATTTTAAGCTCTAGACAAGCTCTGTGGGTAGAGGTAATCTTTTATTAGACCATCTAAAAATATAGTTGAAGAAGTCAGAGAAGATTTTAGACATGCAAGTCTCTTCAGAGCTTGCTTAAATTTCCAACTGTACTGGCTGGTTTAACAAAAGATTATTTCTGCTTACAGTTCTTTTCTTGCCGGTGTCTTTAGACCATCACAACTACAGAAAAATACTATTAGATAATTTTATATTAACACCTGTGTTCCCCTTTCATTTTTATCCAGGCTATTCAGAGAGACAGGTATCCATTGATCTCTGCTCCAACATGATATTTTGTTTGTCACTGCAGATTCTTGTTCGGAGAGCTGACTTCTATACACGCACTCTTTCTTCAGCTCTACTGCCATGACCCAGCATTCTTCTGAGTTACCCGCAGTGAATGAAGAAAAGCATTTTTCTATCTTACTCCACTTGTTTCCGTATCCTTGCATTTTATAAATGCTCACAGAGAATTATTTCTTCCATTAGAAAAACTAGGTTAAGATAACATTGTCTTTATTGTTGCACTACTTCAACTATTGGTCCTATGTACACTTACCAAAAAAAGTAAAATGAACATAAAATAATGAAGTTCAGTGTGTCTTATGCAATCATTTTAAATTATCTTCTGGAACTACCAAAATCTCTCCATTCTGAAGAGAAAACCTTCAAAGAAAACCCCTTCTAAAGTGAAGAATTAAAATCATCAGAAGGAATCCCTATCAATACATCAGCACAGCTCTGTGGGGTGACCTTACCCCAGGCATATTGAGCTGCCTGCTTAAAAAGGACAATAATAATCACACTGAGGTACTCCATACAAATCTGTTTCATTAAATGTCTTCATATAACAAGTTTACGTGACACTAAGAAAAATAAATGGGCTCCCAAAAACCCTATATATGTGACTGCCTAGAAGAGAGCAGGAACTCTCTAATTCAGAATCCATTACACTGTTCATATGTTTCAGGTCCCATTCCTCATTAACAGCCACAATTATATTACCTCCTTGCAATTTGCTCACTCTTTGTTTAGTATGGCACGTGTTGCAAAATACTGTACTGTGCAATAAACAGCTTCCCTGAGGAATTAATAGCTGCATTTAGGAGAGATGGCAACCACTGAGCAATTTTCTGTTTACAGTTACTTCTGTCCAGGAACAAGATGCAATTCTCAAACACAACAAAAATCCTCATCCCTACTCAGACTCAAGGAAGTTCAGCCACCACTCAAAATCACAGAATGAGGTTTTGTACAAAAGGAGTGTCCATCAGGACTAATTTTAGCTACTGTCATGAGAGACACCATCAAAATCATCAGTTAGCATAGTGTAATTTCATTTTGCCAGCATTCTCAACACATAAAGCCTTAAAGTAGACTACTATAGTAGTAAACCCTGACCTTCATCCCTCAGGAGTACCATCCAACAAGGTTAATGGAGGGGAGGAAGAAAGAGACATCAGTCAAATCAAATTAAAAGTCAGTTAAATACCAACATTACAGAGATACTTTATATGACCTCACAAGACGTCAGTGTATTTGTGGGCAGGAACACAACCCCAACCCAATATACAGAGCCATCCCACCTGCTTTTATTTACCAGGGAATTTCTGTCATTTTCTACACAGGCATCCTTTCTACACTTAAAGAAGACTTTGCACTTCACAAACTTAAGAGTGCCTTATTAAAAAAAAAAAAACACAAACCCACAAAAACCAAAAAAAGCCAAACCCCACCAAACCCAAAAAAAATCTTACAAAGGCTCCGATAAGCACTGTGGCCACTGGAATGCTAGCAAATACTAATGTCCAAGTATTTGGGCTGAGAGGGAGGAGCAGAAAGATAGGGAAGAGAAAAACGAGTCAAATTCAGCATCTTCAAGCAGACTATCAGCAATATCATGAGACCAGAAATCATGGATCCTGAAACAGAATTCTTTTGCTCTGCTTTCTTTCATGTGTATGAAAACACAAGTAAAATTAAACACACACTTTAACTACCTGGGGAAGCTTCCAGCGGTATCATTTGCTCCTCAGCCCAGGCTAGCTTGGGCTTGGCCCTCTTACTGTAAATTCCTCCTTTGTGCTTGATAGCTGTACTGTCTGGAGGATTATCATCCCTTAAACCAAGCATGTTTGCCGGAAACCTTGGAGGAAAAGCATCATTTGACCCTGAAGAGAAAGAGATCAATAACTATGAGTAAAAAGAGGCAGCAGGAAAAATAGGTACAGAAATTTCACAACAAAGACAGTGTCTGAAAGAAAGCCTATTATCCAAGTATTAGTACCAGTATGTTCAGCAACCAACAATGATGATCTCTAGTGAGCAGTTCTAGTGACTAATACAGCAGCAGTAGGTATTGCACCACATTGTTCTCCATGATCTTTAGCGACAAGGTTCTTCCCTGAGAGGTAGATTAATTTTACCTACTCTACTAATGAGCAGAGAAGAATACAAGAAAATGAGCATTAGACAGGTTTGCTAGGAAGCCAGACACAGGACTTGGAATGTCCAGACTCCCTTCTTGCTCACATTAAAATTCCAGACATTTTCACTGACTGATGTAAATATCTATTTTCTAAGCTCAGAACAGCAATGGAGAAAAACTGGAAGACTAAAGTAGGTCTGTATAACTTCTAAACAAAAGCTCTCTTACTATCATATCGCTGTCTCCTAATGTTAGAAACCTAAAATGGCCCCTAACTGATTTATCATCCTTGTCAACACCACCTGGTTACATTCAGCAGACTTACTCAACTCAACTTCCTTCAGCTACTACTCATGAGCTAAGAATCCTCGCCGCAGCAGGGAGTTTAAAAAACAAAATTTATTTTTTAATTCTGCCATACATTTTCTAGAACCTTGCACTGCCTCATATGCATATTGAATTTTTATATCTAGCATCATACTTTTTGCAAAACAACAGACTCGCATCACATTTGTTTCTCTCCTTTTGACCATATTACAACAGACAGACTGGGAAAAGGTAATGATCAGAGGCACACAAACAGTTACAAGCACAATTTGTGGCTATGCTGACTAACCTGTGCACTTACTGTCACTGTTGTATCAACCTGCTTCCCTGGGACACGTCTGTCAGGAACTGGACATCTCTGTAATGTTAGTTTTGTCTACAAATAACTTTGGATGTCAAAAAGCTCTCACTGAAAACAACCTACAAACAAGACCTATAATGCTTAAGTGATGTGTTCTTTATGTACAGGAGAGAACTGAAAAATAAGAGCAGGCAAAGCAAAAGAAGTTGATGAATCACAGAGCATCCTTTCCCCCGATAAATGAGAAGTGTTTTTCACTGGGAGATGGGAGGATGGGGGGGGAGAGGTGAATATATATTTTAAACCACAGTTACAAATTACTTTGTTTATAGAAATGCTTTCTACACTGGACTCCCCTAACATGGAGGAAAGAAATTCAGTACTGAGAAAGCTATTATCTGAAATGCGTGTTGTATTATGCAGATATTTCAGAATGCACACATACCAAATTAATATAAAAAAGGGGGAGAATGTACATAAATAAGGGAACTAAAAAGAAGGAGAACTGGCAGAGATATGAAAGAGTCCAAACTGAATAGTAATTCCCAGAGGAAAGTAAAGAATTATCAAGCTGTAAAACATTGAGCCTTGTTTCTTTTCACTGCCAGAACGGAGTACTAACATCCCCTTTCATCAAAGAAATTTAAACCATAGCCTTCAGTCAGGACTCCTACATCTTTGTGTTATAAAGTGGTGTGAACATGAACAAAGACATTTTTCTATTAAAATCAATGCACTTACTCTAAACTGGTAGGACAGAAGAGTTCCGAGCTCAACTGAGACAACTTTGCATAAGAAATAGGTATATTTTGATCCATGAACTACAACCATCGTTTTGCATTTGGAAGGCCTAAGATAAATAAGTACCTGAGTGAGAGCTCTCAACGCTGGTTTCTGACCCAACTGGAGAAATTTTGGATCCTGCCTTTAGATAAGGAACATAATACATCCCAGTACTTCCAGAAGGTTTATACGGCAGCAATAAGGGCTGATCTGTGGGGAAGCAACACAATTAACAGAAGTCAGGCTTTAATCCTTTAATGCAACTGAAGATAAAAGCAACAAATCAGGACCCAAGGAGACTGCTGAAGATGTCCACTGTGGTAAATCTGGAGAAATACCCTATTCTTTAGGAAAATAAATTGCAATTATTAATTAATTAATTTAATTATTTAATACCCACCCAATGGTTAGAAGGTTGACTGTCTCTTAGCTAGAAAAAATAGCTTACTTACCTATTGAATATTAAATTTGTGACTAGGGTGACAAACACTGACTTAAAAAAACCCAAACCCTCACATACCCACATAGCTCCCAGTTGATCCATGTTTCATGAAATAATTTTAAATGAGCGTGGATATCTGTCTCTCAAGTCAATAAAAACAGTATGCTGTCATAACAGAATTTCATCAAACGTTTGGACCAGAACGTAGCTGACTTCTAACAGCAAAGAGAAGAGGTGATCAGATAGAGTGCAAAAAAATATGTCGGCTGATATAATGAAAGAATCTGCTCTCTCAACTTATACTATTTTACATCTTGAGAATAGAGATACAAAGCCTGGAGCCCAGGAAAAGTCATGAAAACTACAAAAGTCTACACACATCAGTAGTATAAAACACCACTGTGGGAAACCACTGCACAACATCCACATTCCTCCATCAACAGATTTAAAAGCCCTCCACATTTTCTATTTTATTCTATTGAAAATAGTGATGTGCATATTCTCCTCTTAGTTTTTGTACTACCTTGACTAGAGAGTAAATCAGCAATCAGATATATCTCTTGATAAACTCTAAGCAGTGAACCAAATCAAATTATTTAGAAACAAATGTCAGAAAGTTTTCTTGAACCAGACTTGTACACAACAAATTCCGTTCCAGCTAAACCTGAAATGAATCACAACTGTACTGATACAACTCCCTACCCACAAGACTGCAAAGCCCAAGTTTAAGGGTTGGGTTTTCTCCCATATGAGCAACTTTAAATATCAAAATTATCTCAAGAATGTTACTTCCACAAAAAAGCTGGGTTTGTTTTTGGTTTTTAATACCTATAAATATCTCAAACTTGAATAGATTAAAGTCTACATATACATATAAGACAGTAATTTGCTCACCACCCTGCCTTGGGAAAGAGGAAGTCTTGTTAAGAGATGAAGTTGTATTGTTGGGAAGTTCATGTGCTTTCTGGAGAGATGACTGGTGGACAGCATTTTCGCTGTCTTGTGAATTAACATAAATTTCTGCTGAAAAGGTTGTTTTTTCAGGACTTTCTGTTGTTATCTGAGTGGCAGCATCAGAAGTACTTTTCCCAGTTTTTGCAGGAACTACAGAGTTGAAGATATTCTTCAGATTACACCCCCCTGAACCCAGAACGGTAACTTGTGGTCTCTCACTGCTTTGCAGAGGCAGCTCTTGCCCCACTGTGCTTGTAACAGGGGAAAGCACTAAGCAGGGATCTGCTGAAGATGCTGGCATTGGGAAAGATGAAGATCTTCGATCTTCTGGAATAAGGTCAGCAGCTGATAATTTAGAAACAGCTTCTATTAAAGTTTCTGGAGTTTTTAAAGACACAGGTTGAGTATTAACTTCAGGTTTATCCCACAGTCTCATCTCATTTTGAGTATTCAAGTCACTATGCAGCTCTGAGTTGTTACACTTCGAGGAAAGAGTTATGTGGACACAAGACAGTACTTTCTTAGTTGGTGATGAAGGACATACAGACATGGTGGATAAAATCTCATCCGTAGATGAATGGTGGGACGTATCTATTTGCTTCCTCACAACCTCTTTCTGGGTGAGAGGTAATTCATCAGAAGGACTTTTGTTTTCTTCTGCCAACAACTTAATACGGTCCTTCAGCAAAGCAGTTTGTACAGCTGAACTTTCTAAGCTCTCATACAACTGGATGTGGCCAGGTGGGCTGCTTTTCTCCTGCTGGTAAGAGCTTATAGAATGGGGTTCATTAAATCTATTCGTTTCTTGACTGAATCTTGTACCGCAGTCAAGCCCCACAAGTCTGGCACTATGCCTGCCCAACTCCGTCACATCTTGAGGCAGAACATCAGAATTTTTTGCACTAAGGGTCTGTCTTTTATCAGCATGGATGCTTACAGAATCCTGATCTGACAAACAGTCTGTTTCTTGATAAGCTCCAACTCTGTTACTGTCAGCAGAGACATGATGAAACCTCTCTCTCTCAGCAGTAAAAGCAATCTCATTAGACACTGAGCCAGCAAGCACTGGACTTGGAGGACAGGTCTTATATCCTTCCCGGTGCTGTTTGTCATGGCTCTGTTCCTCAGTGCTAGCAGAGTCAACCTCCAAAGGCATTATCCCATCAAGACCATCTCTACCAAGACTAGTGCTGAGTGCCATGGAAGTGAATGGTAACTGCAAACGTTTTCGGGATGAAAAGGTGACAGAAGTAATTTGCTTAGCCATATCTTCAGAACACTCTTCCACAGACAGCTTCTTCTGAGCTGGTAAATAGACTTCTGTTTGTATATCGGAAGCAGCTGCAGACCTCATTGCGCACGTGTCCCATTCCTTCTGCAATGGTGGATGAAGTTCAACAACGGCATCAGAATGACTAGTTGCAACTGTTTGATGTCGGTTGCAGATAGGTGTTTGAATGGTACTCAAAGATTTAAACTGCGTATCCTTCAGCAGGCAACAATCGGAAGGATCAGCTCTGTATAACGGCACAGCTTGTCGTAAGCTTGACTTTAAAAGCTCCTTAGTCCTGACAGCTCGTGTGTGTTTGTCAGTTTGAAATCTTTTGTCACTCGGAGTTTTGAAGTGCTCTATGTCCTGTTCCTGATTATGGCTATACTCAGAAGCAGCTTCCAAACCACATACCCATGGATCCTGAAAAATATAGAAGAATTCACATAGGTTATGTGGATAACTTCCCACCCTCGCCAAAATCTGGATTGCAGAACTCAAAGAAAGGCTAGTGCTGTCAATAATCAAGAGTCTGTCATCATGAATGAGCACACACTTTCTCTGGAACTTATCTGTTAATGGAACTAATGAAAAATTTGTCTCATTTGAAGTGCCAGCAAATTAGCTAACAAGGTTTTGATGCTGTAACAAACAGCAGCAGTGACA